GGCCGGCCCGGGACTCCCGCGCGGCCACGTTCGAACGCGTTCTGTAACCCGATACCTCCCTAGTAATGCGACTTTTAGCCTAGTAACCGACCGCCGTGTCAGTGTCAATAGTTTATTATTAAAGTCCCTGAACGAGTGCCATCTGTCTTACAGACAAAATCAGCTCAGAATGATACGGATAGAAATGTGTGTCTCCACGACTCTCATCTAGATTTAAAAAAAAATTATTCTTTTATCCTTTTCACAAGATGTACAAATAACGAATTCCTTAGAGTAATCCACAATCTTCTGGCAGCTAGATTGACAAGTATTGAGGGCGTAAAACAAGACAGACAAAAAGCAAGTAACGGTAAAAATTTTTATACATTGAATATTGAATTTTTGGTAAACAAGCTGGTGGCTAGAAGATTGCGGTATAAGTTGGAAAATAAATCATTTTTTTGTACAGTGCATTGCACCGCTACTTGAGTTTCAGACTTAGATCGTCCATAAAAATGCATTGTATATTTAACACAGAACACCAAAACACTCTTTTCCTGTTCTTGGTAGGTCCTTGATAATAGTAAGAACTGTAACTGTTACAATGGCTGTTCCTGCACGGTATGGATTGTTTTAACAATATAACATCTGTACTCGTGTACAATTGTAACGAAATATTACACAATAAAACGCTGTCACTCAAACCTTTCAGAAACAACTTTTGCAAATAAATTTTCTGACAGAAATGTCAGGTAGAGTTAAGATTGAAGTCCGTGATTCTTTAAGTAGCTTAGAATATTCATTTTGTTTCTTGGCAGACAACAGCCTCGGGCTTGAACTGCGGGCGCCCACAACCAAATACTACTTGACTACATTTTCATAATAAATTGTAATTAAGATATACATCTAAAGTTTTGTGATGTTACAATGTTGGATTCTTTGGTGATTTTTACATCTACATAGTGTTTGGCTGTACAGCAGCTAGCACTTCGCTATGTGATAAATTTCCCACTTTCAGAGATCGAATATTAGCTCGAAACTGATTCTGCATTGTCTGATCATGTTTATTGACCATTTCTGAAGACGATTCATCTTTTGTTTGTGTTTTTACATCTACATGGATAAGGTTTGGCTATAAGGCCGCACGCACTTCGTTACGTGACAGATTTGCAACTGTGGGACTTTCACTTTATTTATTTTTAAATAAATTGAATCTCGGGTCATTCGACCTGCTTTTCAGGTATTTTTCAGGATATTGAGCGTTAGCCTGTGATTGGCCCTGCCCTATATTATTATGAAACTTGCCATTACAGTAGCTGTGGTGTTTGTGTTCGATTTAGTGAATCTGAGACTGGCCTTCTTCTGTCTTTAGAAAATTGTTTTCAAAATCTCCATACCGGTAATAATGATCACTGACCTTGAGACTGAGACTGACCTTGCTCTGTCTGCTCCTGACCGCTGGTCATTACAGTAGCTGTTTTGTACACAGAATTTATCTGCGAGGCAGTCGGCCCTGTGCCATAAGATACATTTCTAGCATCGAGGGATTCAGTGATGGCCTGATACTGACC